ATATATATATATATATATATATATATATATATATATATATATATATATGTTTCTCTCTCAGAAACAAACGCCTTTTCCTAAGGCTCAGGTGAATGCTTTAGATATGTGAAAGGGGGGTGGCACCAGCGGTGGTTTGCATATCTATTTTTATTTTCCAGATCTACGTCGCCGAAGCTATGGCTTTCAGATCGACTTTCCGGTAGGTGGTGGTGGTTGTTCATATTATTCTGGCACAGTTCAACAAACACGTTTATAGAGGCGGTGGAGTTCAGACCGACACAAAAACTATGACGACAACATTCAGATCTACGTCGTCAGAGTTTGTTTGGGTGTATCCAACAACAAGAGTCGACCCTTCTTCTTCGTCTTGTTCTTTCCGTTCTCCCGCTCAATCCAAACCCACCAAAGAATCATTGTTTCTCCTCTCTAAATCGATCGTAAGTGCGGATCAGAATCAATGAGCATAAGCACGCCTTCCCTTACGTCGGTAAAGAACAGTCCCTATCTCCTTCTCCTGTGATTTCGAATCAAGTCACTCTCTCCCTCTTACATTGTTTTGAATCAAGAAACATGAGAGATCTTCTCCCTATGATTGAACAAAAAACTTTGACTCTCCCCCTTGGTACGCCTCTCCCGAGTCTAGTGTGTATGTGTCTACTTGATTCAAAGGGGATGCTCAAGAATTGATGAACAAGGCTGAGTGGTGCTTCTTTCAAGCAGGTAAATGAATGATGATGATGATGGTACTTGGTTATGGCGTTTTAAGGTTGTGAAAATGTCTTTTTTTTTTAATTAGAAATGGTAAAATAGTTTTAAAAAATGGAAAAAGGGAAATACCAAGGGCAAATAGTCATTATAAAAAGTTTCAAAAATTTTGGACCAAACTCGTAATAAAATTCTTATTTTGGACTAGTGGTGCAACTCCAAATTATTTTGGACCAAAGTCCTAATTTTTGATAAACCACATGGACCAAATTTGATATTTTATCTATTTTAAAAATAAAGGGTCAAAGTTAAATTTTAAAAAGTATAGGGGTGGAAAATATCATTTATCAAAGTAGATTTGAAAAAAGTAGATGGTAAAAAGTGTGATTCTTGAAAGTAAATGGATTGTAACTATTGGTGGAAACATCAAATGCGTTACAAATTAATATATATATATATATATATATATATATATATATATATAGATCCGGTAAGAAGAAAATTTTTGGTAGGAAGGT